GGGCAGTTTTTTATACCTCATGGGGAGTAACAAAGAACATTTTACTATTGAGAAAATTTTAACAGATCATCTTATTTATTTTTGAGAGCGTCTGGTATAAGCAGTGACTGCAGTGCTTCTCAAATAGGGTGAGACTATTTGCAGTATAGAGTTACACTTGTGTTTGGTGTCATGTCCCGGAATGAATGTGAAAGTTTGTATGACTCATTACTGTTGATATTGATGTGACATTTTTATGCTTCAGTGGTTAATGAAGGGGAGTTTGTGAGCTGTGACAGATGTAACGTTCTCTCTCTTTCTCTTTCATAGTACAGCAGCTTGCAAAAGTATTCTCTAACTTTCCCACATTTTGTCACATTACAGCCACAAACATGAATCAATTTTATTGGAATTCCACGTGAAAGACCAACACAAAGTGGTGTACATGTGAGAAGTGGAACGAAAATCATACATGATTCTAAACAAACATTTTTTACAAATAAATAACTGAAAAGTGGGGTGTGCGTAATTATTCAGTCCGTTTGGTCTGAGTGCAGTCAGTTGCCCATAGACATTGCCTGATGAGTGCTAATGACTAAATAGAGTGCACCTGTGTGTAATCTAATATCAGTACAAATACAGCTGCTCTGTGACGGCCTCAGAGGTTTCCGGCTCATGTGGTTATCTTGGGTAATGAAAGCGCAGATAGGTTGGCCAAAGCAGCTGTTAAGAGTCCCCATAGATGTACAGTTACCATTGTCAAAATCTGAAGGGAAAAGTGTAGTTTGGGCAGAAAGTAGAAACTTATGGCATGGGGTAATGAAACAAAAGAGAGACATTTATACAGGGTGCAAAACACAATAGAAGCTAAGAGGAGTAGCGGATTGCAGAGACGTGAGGAGGTTGTTATCGGTCGAATATGAATGGGCCACTGCTTTTTAAATGGTACTCTTTTTCGGATAGCGAAACATCCGACTGGGTCTGTGATGGATGCACTGATATGGAGACGGTTGAGCATGTACTCTTTAGTTGTAGGAAGTATGCGAGTCACAGGAGGGTGATGTGGGGTGACATGAGTGGTGGACGGGAACTTACATTTGAACAAGTGGTTAATAAGTTAAGTCATGGTGAAGGGAAAGTGGTGGTTTTTTGTTTTTTGAGAAATACTGGTCTCATCAAGAGGATCTGAGGATTCAGGAATGACGGATGATTAACAGCCAGGAGGTGGCAGTAATGCAACAGTTTTGGATGCAAGCTGCCGTTAAACTTGACTGAAGAAGAAGGCCTCAGAGGTTGTCTAAGAGAATATAGGGCT